CAACCAAACGCTCAGAAATGATAGAACGTTTGATTAAGACGTAATTATTAATGTTCAGTATGGTTTTATGCATTAGAATTGCTTGTTGGTTGAATACATTTAAGAAGCAATCCAGTAACTGCTTTAGATTACACCCGTTCAATGTATTTTACTGGATCTATTCATATTTGCTTTTTACGTGTTTAACAAGATTTACACTACATTTTTTGTTTAAAAGTGATATGAGTATATACTGCATGAATCATTTATGATTCCCCATGTCTTAAACATTTCACAAGATTAAAACTTTTGATGCAATATAAAGTTTTCTGAAAACAGCGCGAGTATGACTGCTGTATGTGCGACTCTTGGCACCTGTAATTGCTACGTTTGGCTTCTGTTCTGTTTCATAAGGTGCGACGTTTTACTGCTGTATCATAAATGTACTGTTTTCCATGAAATACATTTAGATTTAATATCAACACATCATCAGAGAGTGCAACGTCTTTGAATAAACCCCAAAACATATATCTTCAAGTCGAGGATTGGTTGCTTCTATCGCATATTAAAAATGTATTGTATATACATATGTAACCACCCCCCCCCCCCCCACACACACACATACATGTAATTCACTAATTTGTTCCATTATGTGAAAAAAATAAAGGATTTAAAATGCAAAATTAATTCACTCTGGTTAGTTGATATAAGATATCATTCTTAAAAATCGTGGATTTGTTTCACTAAAATATGTCACTGGAGTAAATGTTCATTAAGGTTCTCTCCCAAGGTTCATTTTTAATAATTCCAGATTCATGTTGTAAGTCATCTTCATTTGACTATCTACAACTTTAAGAGTTACAAACTTTCTATGCACGCAAAAGAAACGAAAAAGATCTTGGACCCATCCCTCAACCCACCCCGAAGGAAAAAAGATTGACCTCTCTTTAATTATATTTACATGTATTTGAAGGGAATAGACGTTGAACCATGTACATGTAAGTGTATTTAAATTGTTTATCCCCTCCCTGACTAGTTTTTTCAACCTTTGACTCGGAAAGACGACATGGACAGGTTTTAAGTATCTCCGATACTTAACTTGTATGGAATATTTTAATATCTCAATAAAATATCACATTTGAATGACATAAAGACACCGTTTATTTATCAAACATGTAGACTCGTGACATTTTTTTTTCAATGTACAACGTATATGTAGGAAGAATGAAAGTCGCAGGCGATTGACAAGTCAACAAAAAATGTCAAATCTCGGAAGATCAAAGCTTCAGAACTGTAGTGTTAACTTATAATGGTTTCATGTTTTCATCTTTCATTATAAAGACTCAAATATAAAACCATAACGCTGTCGTTCTGCAACTAGGAAGAGCAGTTCTATTTCTTTGCTTGAGTGTGACCTTTCACTAACTACTAGTATTCCATTTTCTACGACGACCATCTTTGCTAGTCAAGGGTTTCTGATACGTTACTTTCCTCATAAACTGAGGAGAGTAGCGTATCGGAAACCCTTAGTCAGCGAAGATGACAACGGCTTGATTCGCCAACCATACGGTTAGCTGCAGGACTGTAGTTCTCCGAAGACGGGAGAGCTGCAGTATCACCAACTGGAAAAAAATGTATAATAATATTTTTTTTTGCATAAAAGTGCGCTGCTTCTCGGTTTCAAACTGTCATATTCTCAAAATATTTCTAACTGGGTGTTGCAAATAAATTCTTTGGCAATTTTCACTTACTATTTCCACGACAAACAACTGTTGTAAATATCCCTCCATGAAAGTGAGACCACCCAATTTCGCATTTTTACTGTCATTTTGAAGATGACAAGACACAAAACCTTTCAATTGCAACACGCTTCGTGAAGAAGTGTAGAGGTCGTGATTTTTTTTTTTTTAGCTTTTGTGCAGTTGGGATAAGAATTTGGAGGAAGTAATTCAGTACCAATCGCAGATTTTGTGTGCAATTTTTTAACATATTTTTTTTTTGGCTGGCACTGTATATCTTCGGTCGTATATCTCTTTTTTCAGACCAGTAAGTTACAGAAATGCAGCTACCTTACGGTTACAAAAAGTTGGGGGAGGGGGGCATGTCTACATGAAAAATATAAACATGAATCAAAACTAAAGCAAAAGTCTATTTTCAGGAAATAAAGTACATCCAAACTGGCAGACTACGTGCTTGAGATGTTATAGGATAAATGTAGACTACATGCAACACAATTCTAAGGATGCTTACATCGTGCTTTGAATAATTATAAATTGCAAGGAAAAATATTACCATTATGCATTTGTGTATTGCTTTAAAAAGATTTATCGCTTGATCACCACATTTGTATATGTACACCTAGTGCAAGTTTTAAATTATTTGCTGTCATCGTGTTGCTCATTTATACCATATCACTCTATTCAAAAGTTTTCAACAAAAGAATATGACCAAAAACACAATATTCGTAAGAAGAATTGATGGAATATTTTTTATTGCTTCTAGAAAAAAATCAAGAATGATTATAAACTACAAAAACTAGTATTCTCTTCATGCAAGTTTGAATAATTTCATATTATTCACGTTAAGTAACATAAACCAATAGTCTCAGAGACGTAAACCAGTCGTCGCATTTACACAAATAAAAAGTCGCCAGTGTCAAAATTTTACAGAAACCAGTTGTAGCACCTACATAATGAATTTGCTAGTTATTGACAAATTCCAGGGAAATAATTCATTAAAAGCACATTTTTAGTGTTCATGACATTAAATAACGTTGAATTAAAGTTAAATCTATCCGCTTGGCTGTCTAATTAGTACTGTAGTACTTTATGCATCATTCGAATGCGAGTACGTGGAAAACACTATGTAAACAGCCATTTAAATGTAATTTTTCGATATTGAGCCCTTTTCGGGTATAAAAGCAATCCAATCGCTTAACTGTTTAATAAATTTGCTTTGTAGAAAGTGATTTTTATTGTTTATATCAAAAAATATGTATTTAACTAGATAATTCACAGGTGCCAATAGTAGCTGGTGTCCGAAACCAAGATTTTCTCGATTCGCACTTTACCAGCAGTGGTACTTAGTATCTACTTATTTTAATGTTTAAAATCGAACTTAATGTTATTCAATAAATTGGTTTATCTACAGGGCTGTTCTATGCAGAAAGTAAACTGGGCTCTTTGCTAAAAAAAATACTGTAATCTACAGAATTTTTTTTTCAGATTTACGTATTTTATCATGTTTACGTTTTAGTTCTTTACGTAATGTCTCAAAACTTTAAACATATGTATTTACATTTGTAGATGTGTTTATCTAAACATGCTTAATTACCTTTAGTGATGAAGTATAAAATGGGATGTTTGTATGTCTGTGCATTTGTTGGTATTTTCTGATAACGTGCATTTCAAATGTATATATTCAGTATCTGTGTCGACCAGGAAAGCCGGCACTCTAGGAAAGATCTTCCAGTTTTATAAGTGCAAATCAACACAGACTGTGATACTTAAAGGAAATTTGGATGTAGTCATCTACACACTTCAAATGGAGATGTCAAACATCGAATTCCAGATTTTTGATTACGGGAATTCAAATTACAGCAGCAATGGTAATAGAGTTAATTTTTTTTTAACTAATATCTAACCTCACACACCTGCTCGAAAACACACTTCTTAAGGTCAAGATCTAGTAAACGAAAGCTGTCTACAGAAATATCAAATTTACTTTAAAAAAATCCTTTAGGCCATTCCAATTTTTTTCTCTGTTTAGCGTCCACCCATCTTTCAAAAACCTACCTATCTATTCGCAAAAAACACAGAAGTCAAAACATAAAACAGAGGCTTATAAGTCATAAAAATGACGCCCTTCAAATGATTTGATCTTAATGAACTGCTTTCATTAATAGAAGAAATATCTATTCTTAAGCAAAAACAAGTGATTAAATGCTTAAAATACACCCAATATAACTTACTGTACAGAATTATTTGGAGAAATTGACAAAATTCAAAAATTTCGACTAAATGAATCAATTTCAAGACTCCTGATGTTGTGTGTTTTTTCTTATATGGGGTGTCAAAAACCAAGGCGAACGCGAACACTAAACATAGTAAAAACTTGGAATGGCTATAGTAATTCTTTTCAACTTAAGCTTGGCCGAAAAAAATGATATTGTAAATTGACATTTCACTTGAAAAATTGAGAAAACAAGTCATGAATATGGGAGTTTTCTTTCCACATCAGACAAAGAAAATGTATACGAATTGCCTACAGTCTTTCAGAAAAAGGTAATTTGTATCATTTTTGATCTTTTCTTTAATTTAATGCCAAATTTAATAAATATATGGGTATCGGGACTACTTTTCATGTGCTTCAAATTATTAAATTCCATGAAAATACCTTTTTCTTCATAAATTTATTAGAGCCGATAAAGTATGGGAATAAATTATGTGATTATGACGTCGTAATGTATTTTTAAAACACGAAAATGTTAGTTTAAAGACATTATTTTACTAGATCTTGACGTTAATGCATTTTCCCCATATAATTCAGCTATATTTATTTTAAATCCTGATTGAGATAAAAAGTATATAAAGTTTTCCTTACTTGAGCATATATGTGAAATTGATTTTTTTTTCTTCTGAACAGGTTCGTAGCTAATTTTTTAGAATATATACATAAAATAGCACCGTATCGTAAATTTTGATAAGAAAAAGTCAAGTTCAGCTTCCCAAAGGCCTTTATCTATGTCTGTATAATGTAAAAATAGATGACCACTAGCTTTCATTCTTATTAGCTCCAAAGATTATACTAATAAACCCGAAAAGACAAGATCCACTGCTGGTAAACTACGAACAGAGACAAAGCTGATTTTGGAAACTCGTTATTATTGGTAATTGTAAGAAGTGTAGTGCAATCTGCTCTTTTTTATATAATATAAATTCCTTGAATGTCAAATAGTCTAAAACGTTATATTAAATCTACTCATTATTAAACATAAATGACAGTTTTCAGTAAATTACTAGATGGCTACAGGTACGCTATTGGAATAAGAAAACACAACAATGACAGAAACATTTTTTTTTAAAGCTATGAATGTAAAATGTCTCATAATGCAATGAAATCTGTATTTCACAGACAGAAAAACCGATTTGACACTTTTTCGCAATAAATGTATATTTCAACCCAAAGGAATGTCAAAACTTAAATGAAATATGTCCGAATTTAATTTGAATATTAATCTTGAGGCAACAACACGTTTGGATATTAGTTCCCCTTATAATCCCCCCTAGTGAGAATCAATCGCCAAATCTCATGGAACTTCGGAAAAGTTTTCGAACATATACTAATATACCTTTCCTTTGGGTTAAAATTTTAGAAGAACTTTATATTCGGTCAAACATAATTTAGTCGCTTTTTGTGTTTTTCGACCTTGACCGTTGATTTAGAAAATTAATTTCACATAACAAACATAACGGACATAAAAATCTTATTGAGTCAAAATGAAAAGATGATATGAACAGGTACATGTACTTTATGCAATGAAATTTTCCAATTTTGGCTTTTTATCTAAAAAAAAAAATAGTCCAGGGGGCAGTGCATACATTCTACTCTATTTATAAAAATTTGAACCCAACTATGCAAAGGAGAGAGAAAATATCTTCCAAACAAGGGTTTTACAAAGATTTGTATACTCTGACCTTTGCTTGAAAATTGCTTCAAGGTCCTCGCAATCCCTATACCCCTGTGTGTAAAATTGACCTGTAGGGTCAAGGGGAGAAAATATACATCTGCCAAAGATTTTTAGACCAACATTTTTCAAGGTGGATTGAGCTGACCCAGGAAATACCTACATACAACAAAATTATTCCTGACAAAAATGCTAGAGTACGTGTTTTTTTCTTTCTTTCTTTTTTTTTTTTTTTTTTAAAAAAAACCTTCTCTAGAAATTTATGGTAATTTTTTTTCATTTAGAGTGAATTGTTTTCGATTTAAGAACTATGTATGAAATATTTATTTTTTTTTTTATTTAATTAAGTACAAGGATATTCTTAAAATTAAAAAAAAATCCAAAACTATTTTTTAATGTCTCCCCAGTAAAGTAAGCAAAATATAAGTAATTCATATCAATTTAGAAAATAGTGTGCGTAAATATTCTCAAAAATGTTTCAATTATATGATAAAATGAATGTTGCAAAATTTATTTATTTATTGAATTAGTTTTTATTCCTACAATGTATCAAAATTATTTCTTTCAATATTTTTTAAGTAACAGGTCTTTTCTTTAGTTTGTTGGAGACGGAATTTATCTCCACATATTTAGTTCAATTTTTCAAAACAAGATATTGTGTGGTAAATGGTAAAGCTTAAATGAATGTTTTCGAGATTTTGACCATTTCCAAGGGCTTGACCTATATACTATTCCGTTATGTGTGGTAAGACATAATGTTATATACCCGCTTAAAGAAAAAACTTTCATTTGAGATACTTATATATTTGTATTAAGAGTGTACTTATTTTGTCTATAAGCAAGTCCATAAATCCAGGTTCTCACATATCGCCACAAAATAATATGTTTATGAATCACAATCACAATGTGCAAACAAAGAACATGGTAAATTAGTGCAATGCTGTAATTCAGGATGCGTGCTTGTCACTTCGCGCGCGAGTGGTAGTCAAAACGCCATGTAGAAATTTTCACGAGAGGGGCGGGCTAGCATTCTAATATTTGATAGAAAAAAATACATGAATTTGGGATGTGTTGTCAACTGAGGTGACCAAGATTATCTGAAAGGTTGTTGAGGTAATATTTCCTTACCTAAGTTTTTTTTTTTATCCTACCTTGATTATTGCATTAAGAATGTTGCCGATTCTTTCCTGTTAAGGCGGAAGAAGGTAGAATGACTAGGCATCCATTATATATATATATATATATATATATATATATATATATATATATATATATATATATATATATATATATATATATATATATATATATATATGATATGATATTTTGTGAATATGAATACAAGAATACATGTAACCAATGTTCATACATACAAAATTGATCATTTCTTGCGTTCTTCACACATGCATATTTAACTCAAGGTTTCTTTTGATTTTGAGATTTTTTACAGAGTATTTAAAAGTTACATGTAGTAACATTTATATTCAATTTGACATTTAAAAAAAACGCAGATTTCCAATCAGTATATAAAGCTGAAAAGCATATCATATAACATGAAATCTCCTAATTGTTTACTTGTTTTCAGCATATACTTGCAAGGAAGACTTAGGACCCATTCCACCCCCTGGAAAAGTTCCTATTCACATGTTTACAACCTCTGACAAAAACGTCTCTTGTATTGGATTTAAAGGTGGAATTCAATTCAAAATTCCATACATGTCAGAAAATGGTGTAAGTAAAAAAAACTATTTTTTTTATGCCGAACGACTATTGTCACTGACTCTGAGAATAAAAATAATGATTTTATTTTCACGGGGGTCTCTATGAACCACACTAATATTTTTCGGTTTTGTCCCCTCCTATGGATCAATACATATCACATAGTAAAAAATTATCCTTTAATATTTCAATGATAATTATTATTCAATTATATTAAATTTACAAAAACCTGTCCATATTGTACCAGGGTTATCTAACTTATCTTGAATACATTTATGTGTTTTAAGAATCACTACGTATTTACAAATTAAAAAAACAGATACGAGGAAGATGAGCTATGTTATTTATTTTATTCTGAACCAGAAAAAAAAGAAAGGCGTCATTCTTTAACCTGGGAGGCAAAAATATTATAAAATTCGAAAATCGTCATATTTTGGGTCCTACTTCTTGATTTGATTTTGTTCTTCTTCTTCTTCCCTTTATAGAGTGAACTTTAAAAGTTGAGTGTCTATATTCCAGTATGTTTAGCGGGACTTCAGAAAAGATTGCTATGATCTAGAAATCTAGGCTGTGATAAAGCTTTCACAAAAGTTTAAACATTTCTGGCGCTCTGTTTCTTGAGAATTTTTTTTTTTAATTATTCATTCTAACCTTTCCTTAAGAGGTTTTGACCCTCCATTTGACAGACATATTCCCTGTATCATAGCCGGCTTTATAAAAAAAAAAAAGCAACAGTAAATATTTGAGATTACAGAAGAATTACAAGTGTGAAAAAAGGAAGAGT